GTAAAAAACAACAACAAAAGTTTTACAAATGATCGGTGAAAATGTACAAAGTTATTTTATTTTATCAAATGATCAATAAGAATGTGCAAAGAAATATATAGTTAGTACTTGTGAATAATAACAAGGAGTTTTTTTGTGAGAAAGAGAGATTATTAATTTCTCAATCACATTTTATCCTACCATTCTATAAATTATACGGAGTAGATAAAATGGAAAGTAACACTAAAATTACACATTTATTAAATCTCATATTTTTCTTACTTGGAAATGTTTTATAGGATGGATGGAATACTAGAAAAGAGGGAATAGTACTTCATCTAATAGTCACTCATTAATGGGCATGTGTATGTAGTGGATCGAGGGTGGACCATAGTTTTGAAAACTGGACCGTATCGGCTAGTCTAGACCAGGAACTGGTGAACCAAAGGTCGAATCGGTCCGGTTCGACCCTTTGGACTGCATTGCACACTGAACCAGTTCGAACCGGTGTGAACCAGGAAGAACCGGCCAGTTCACCGGTCGAACCCGTTTTTTCTTTCAAAATTTAACCAAATATTAATATTATTCCATCACTATGGTTCTCAATCACATCTTATCATACCATACTATAAATTATAAATAAAATGGAAAGTAACACTAGAATTACACATTCATTAAATCCCATATTTTTCTTACTTGGATATGTTTTGTAGGATGGATGGAATCATGGAATAGTAGAAAAGAGGGAATAGTGCTTCATCTAATAGTCACTCATCAATAGGCATGTGTACGTAGCGGATCGAGGGTGGACCATAGTTTTGAAACTCGGATCGGACTGGCCGGTCTGGACCAGGAACCGGTGAACCGGAGGTCGAATCGGTCCGGTCCGACCCTTTAGACCGCATTGCACACTGAACCAGTTCGAACCGGTGTGAACAAGCCGATTCACCCGGTTGAACCAGTTTTTTTCGCAGAATTTAACCTAAATATTATTCCATCACTATGGTTCAAACCTTTAACCTCTTGGTAGTTATACCAAGTTATCAACCAATCGAGCAAGACCGTTTTTTGTAACATATTGATTCTAAGTAGTATATATTCCATAATTAAAAGAGTAAATATGTATTAAAGATTTTTTTCTTAAACTTGGATCCTTAACATTTTAAAAGAGAAATAATTCTAATACGGAGTATGTGTAGCTAAAAAAATCATTTTAATATTTTTGGTTATTAGAGAAAATATATAAAGAAAAATATCATTATTTTATAAAACTTTTAATGTACTTTTCGATTTGTAAATTTAATTTTAAATATAAATTGACTAACAAAATAAATTAAAGTGATTATAATTTTAATCAAATGTCATAAAATTTTATTTTATGTACATATGAAAGGAGTTATTTTTATTTTATACAAAATGATTATATATATATATATATATTGTAACGCCCCGAAACATACCCTAGAATTATTATTAAATAATTATTCGATTAAACAAATTTGTTTTGATTATTATTGGGCTTTGGGCTGATATGAAATATTTTTTTTATCCAATATCAAAATCTGGATAAGTCTAATTGAGATAAATCCAAAATGTGGACTATTTGTGTGGTCTTGATTGGGAACCTGCGTACAGACCCAAATCAAGAATAAATAAATTAATTAATTATGATGTGAACTTTGAAATGATTTATTGAAATAAATCATGAGAATATTTGATATTATTAAATGAGAGAACCTTTTATGAGAAAGGTCAATTAAACCAATTTTGACTCTGTTAAAGTCAAACACCCAAAAATATGATGTCGGAAAAAGTATTACAAATAATTATGAAAAATATATCGTTGGATAGAGCTCGACTGTCTGATCGCAACGGTGTAAACGGAATTCAATTCGGAGAAAGTTGGACCAAAAAGTGTACCCCGACTGGAACCAAAATTGGTCCCAATCAGGGACACTGTGCGAACGGCGCCTCCTTCACCACTACCGATCGCAGAATCACCCTTCACCATCATCATAGTTGTTTTCTTCCTCTCCTTCTCATTATATAAGAAAACCCAACCCTTCTCATTTCTACACCATTCTCTCTACTTCTTCTTCCATTGTGTTCTTGAGAGTGTAAGGAATATTGTGGTGCTGCCAATTTGGTGTGAGGTCGCCGGAGTTGAGAGTAATCATCGCCGGAAGTTTCGCCGGAAAATATCCAAAACCTTCGTTAAGCTTCAAGGTAAGCCCCTAGATATATCTAATGACTAGAATGTTCATATAGGTCGTTTCTACGTTCATAAATGGTCATTTGGTTGAGTTTTGTGTTTGACATGCTTGAA